TAAATATTACACTAGTTCATACTATAGCAACAAAAAAAGGAAAGACTGTAGCAAGTTAGTACTATCTGTTTGGGTAATGCAGCTGCGTTTGTGCTCAGTTGAAAGGAAACTTCAAAGGTAGAAGTTTTGTATGGCAATGCCAGACACAGCATAACCAGATGTTTCTATGGTGGGGTTTTTTTTTTGCTAAATCACTGATGCCAGTGATCCTGGACTTGTTGTGTGGCTGAGAACTGATGTAACTTGCAAGTACATGAATTCAGTAATTCTGCAAATTAACTGCTGAATTTTTGAGTCTTTTGCCTTCTGAAATCAAGCAGCGAGATAATACAGGGGCAGGAGGGAAAGGGAGAAATTCATTTGCAGAGGCTCGCTAGGCTCAAGATAGATCTCCGCCAAGCTTGGGAAAATAGCTTTCTGTGGCTCTGCTGAGTTCCTGTTTAATTACTTAGCCAGATATGACCTTGCACAACTTCTATAATACAAGGGACTAGGAGATCTTTTGTGGTAAACAGAGCCCATAAAAACTCCGTTCTCTAATCTCTGTTTCTCTAGCTGATGCCACCTTTTTTAAAACTATATATATCTCTGAAGCACCTAATTGAGAAATGACTTTGTGGGGGGATAAAAACATTTGAGTTGCAGGAAGTAATTGCACAGGAACAGTGTTACTTGTCTTTTTATTGTTACGTACAAATACTGTTATTATTAGAAGACTCATTTCTAGTCATGTGTCCTTTGGGTTGGCAGTTATTGTATGTTTGGTCACTGAAAGGAAATGCCTAAGAGATTGAGCAAAGTGATGTTATTTAGCTGTATTTTTCATACAGTTTAGGAGGCGTGTAACTATTCATTTGCAGTTTTCTTGCACGCGCCTGGGAATTTGCCAGGTATGAAAGCATTCCCAAGGGAGGCAGGTGTGGGTGGCACCTTAGGAGGGCCTAACAGAGAGTCCATATAACTCTGCAAAGTGAACCTACGCTGTTTGCAGTAACAAATGCTAAGAACTAAAGGAGTTGTAGAAGTAGCGATGTGGCATAATGCAGTGGATTGTACTGTGTTGAGAAATTGTTTCATTACGAGCGCTGCCGGTTCTCTTGTTTTGTTTTAGTTTTAAAAGCACTGTATAAATAACAAATATTTTCTTTGATAATGGTGATGCTGATGTTTTAAACTTGCATTACAGAGGACAGGATGAAATGAGTTTTGAGATGCATGACATTATAAATGTGGACTGTGGAGGTTTTGGGTTTTTTGGTTGGGTTTTTTTGTTTTGGTGCTAAATACACCTGTCATGTTCAGGAAAGAAAGGAGGCAGTCCAAATTCTGCCATGTTCTTGTTGAACAACATACAGAGCCTGTGCTAATCCCTCTAGCTATCAGAGCCGTTCACACTTCCACCCTTACATCCATACAGGACAAGCACAACCTGCCCCTAAATCTTGCCGTGCCTCTGTGCGTCAGAAACAGGGTCTTGCCTGCTGTGGAAATGCAAACCTCTCTGAGCAGCTGGCCACAGCCGCTGCTTCAAAATGCATAGCGATACTGTGACATCACTTAAATACCAGGCTCTTAAATATTGTCTCACTTTGCTATTTTTGCCTTTCAAGCAAAGAAGCTGCTCTGCCTTAAGGGGTGAAGGCAGGCCCGCTGGTTCTTAATTGCCTCCTTCCCCAAGTGACTGGGGAGATTGTTCTCTAACTGGCTGTAATTATCCTTTACTGTAAACTAACCAAAGTACACACTGATTTCGGTGTTATGTTCATTAGCAAGCATCCCATTTTGAATGTTAATGTATTCTGGGAATGTCCAGTCTGTAAGAATGGACTGATTTGTGTAGCAAGTGTTTGTGAAATACCCTGAGGAACAAATCTGTAGCTGGTGACTTATTTCAAATGAAGCCCGTGATGTTAAGGACAAGAATATCAATGGATGGTCAAGCTGCAGAGTGGATTTAGGTGTGAACGTTGTCTAAAAGGGAGATAAACTTTTTGTTGTCCCCAAAAGAGCGCTTGATGGGAAGGTTGGTTCTGAGTCTGTGCCTGCAAAAGATTTCTCCCTGTGGTCGGTGTTTGTGGCATGATTTCTTGTGTGAGATGAAGGGGGAATTTATCCTGCAAGTGGCACTATTGGTGGCTTTGCGACTGAAGTGGGCTGCTAATTTAGCACTGGAGAAATGTGGGAAGGATGAAAGCTGCTCTTCATACCTCGACTCAAACATAATCCATAAAAAGACTTGCCACACGTTCCTTTAAAAAAAAAAAAAGTCTGAACCTAGCAGATGCTTTTTCGTGTTATTTTCAAGGTATTCAGCAGCGTAGACTGCTTGGTTTTCAGATGGGTAACTGTGTGCAGCATATAAAAGTGATGCTGAATGCTTTTAACGGTTACGGTTCTGCCATCCAGCTCCTACTCGAGCCCCTGGATCTGGAGTTTTCTGCCATGTCTCCTATAATGAGCAATGAAGCATGGCTGCTTTGCCAAGTCCAGGTGGAAAAGTTTGCCTAGTAATGTTGTCAATCGCTGGAAAATAAGGAAGTGACATGGGATTTTTCTGCCTAGTGAGATTATTCCAGTCAAAAGTAAGATTCGAGTTTCGAAGTGACTCTATATGGACACTCTCCTTATAGTAATAGGGGCTCTTTCACCAATGTAGAATAATAGACTTCCTTAGTGGAGCAAACAAGATCAGAAAAAGATGGTCTCAAAAATGTGCCGGCAGAAAGCTATTGCTGAAAAACTTGTTCCACAATTGCCTTTTCAGTTAATTTCCTCTTGTATACAAGCCCTTTCTCAGAGCATTTTACCATATATTTCTGGAGAGAGAGCACTTGATCACTGAGCTTGTGCGCAGCGCTCAGATCTGAAGATACCAGGCACTTGGAGTGCCTGGTGCTAGAAATCAGCCCTGATGAGCATTCCTATGCCTGGCTTGGCTAATAGAATTACCCGAACTGTTATGATGTGCAAAGTTGTTTTAACTGTGTATGAGACTACTGCTTTTGCTGGGTATTTCTGTACCTCTCTTAATGATCTGGATGAGGAGGCGGATGAATATAGAAGTTGTAGAAATGGAAATAAGAATTAAGAAACAAAATAGAAATCCATGTTTAAAAACAAAAGGCTTGTTGCTCATGAAAGCATTGGGGTATTTACAGGGAAAACCCCCTGTAGAATAAAGGGTTGAGAATGTGATGTTGCATGCTTAGGAACTTCAATTAATCTCTGAATATGACGATTCTCACGTGTGGAAAATTGCGAGGAAATAACTGGCATGCTATTGAGTTCTGCCTAGTCTTTTCAAGTTGCACATATCTTTGAAAATTACTCTGAACAAATCTAATGGTGTCCCTGGATACTACAGGCTATGCAAATAAGTTTAAAAGAGCTGCCAAAGAATAGTCTGTGGGCTTTTCACCATATCAGATGGTTATGTCATTTACTAAAGTGTAGGCTATGCTTCCATCTTGTCACTGGTAACTTTAAATGCTTATCTGCTAGACTGCTAGTGAAAATTATTCTGCTAATTCTTGTAAGGCAAAATGTGACTATAACTTTTTCAGGCTTTTTTTCCTTTTGCTCTTTTTGTTCTTTTTAAATATAGTGCCAGTTATGTGAGATTTCAAAAGGCAACCATCTTCTGTTGTTCTGTCTGCTTTTCAGAAATAGTGAAAGAAAGAATACAGAAAATGCCTATAAATTGTATTATATATATGCCCCATACATACGTGTGTATGTTTGCAAATAGGGAAAAACAAATTAATGCAGTGTAAAACATGTGGTGTTACCTAAAAATTCAGATATCTCAGCAGCAAACTTGCTCCACAAATAGATATAATTTTATTTAGAGATAAAGATCTGCTATGCGAGGTATAAAAAGCCTCCTTTGTTACCCAGGTGGTCTGGGTGAAGCCCTGGAGCAGAACCTATATAAACAAGGGGCAGCTAGAACGATCGCTGTATGCGTTACTATATGAGGCCATCTCTATGTATCAACACATACTTGAATGCATCTCTATATGTATGTGGGTAAACAAACTTTTGAAATAATCTCAGGTTATGGTTTCTGTATCTGCTAGCTACCCCTGTGCATTTTCAGCCTTTCCTAGGAAATGGAGCTTGCCAGCTTTGCCAAGCTTTGTCTCTCTTTAAATACCCATACACACATACATGTACCCCCAATTCTTGCCTTACCTTCACATCGTTGATGTTCATCCTTGTTCCCTCCTTCCCAACGAAGATGTCATCTATGTCAACCAGAATGTACCTATCCAAGGACAGCGTGAGCTTCTTCCCCGACAGGAAAGAGATGGCATCAATAAAGATCAGTTTGTGCAACCAGAAGGTCAGGTTGTTTCCAAAAAGGACTCTTTGAATCCCGTCATGAAGCCCCAAGTCTTGGATGACGGTTGCATACAGAGCAGCCTTTGGCAAGGCGGCGGGGGGCGGTCTGGAGGTCTGCAGTTCCGTTAAAAGCACAGGTTGATAGGTGGAATGGTTAAACTGGAAAACTGTCCAGTCTTCGCCGGGCAGTGGACCTTTCTCAACCCTTGGTGCTTTGGTAATGTGCAGCAGGGGAGACTGAGGGTTTACCACGCAGTCTTTGAGGGCTACATTATTGTAAAGGTGTAATGGCAATCCTTTCAGTTTTGTACTTGGGGAGCTGTTCTCGTTGGCTTTATGAAAACCAATTATGCTAACACTGTATTCCACACAGTATTTTTCCAGAAGCTCTCTATTCCACGAGTCCATGGATACATACTTTAAAATATTCTCATATATAACAATCGCGTATTTTCCTCTTCCATTGTCTGTGAGAGGGGGAATATCCCCCTTAGCTGGTGCGATGACCATGTGGTACTGAAATCTGCTGGACTCAAGGATGGCTATGATGTCTTGCCCCAGTTGGGAGTACTGGCTTTCCACGAACAGGAGAACAGTGGGATCAGTTTTAGATGGATCAATGGGTTTAGCTGTTTTCAGCTCCACGGACCTGTATGGTAGAAGCTTGAGGTCTCCACACTCTGCTTCTCCAGTGGTTTCCACGAGGGCCACTTCCTGCTTGTAGCCAGTGTAGAGGTAATAGGCAGAAATCACAATACTTGCCAAGCAGAAGGTCGCCAGGAGAATGACCAACGTTCTGAAACTTCTGCGGAGCTTCACGATTAGATTCATCTTTTGCAGGACTTCCAACTTCTGTTGGACTTGCTGCTTTTTTTTTTTATTCTCTCTTCCTAAAGTGCCATAGGAACGAGGAGATGCAGAGGTGCTGATTCCCCTCCCGAGACGTTCATGTGACCATTGCAGTGCATTTATGAAGCTGTCGAGGAGGTTTATAAAGCTGTTGGAGCAGGAAGTCAAAGGATCCGGAAAGCTAAATTGAAAGAGATTTTCTCAGAATGCAGCAGCTGCCAATAATCAATGAAGAGGACTCTTAACATTATCTGCAACAAGAAGTAAAAGAAGAGTAAATAAAATAAAATCCATAAAGCAATTAAAAACGCACGTTAATAAAGACAGTGATTGATACTGGTAATCTGAGTTAAGAGGGAAGTTTATGAACAGTTCAAGGAGCACTCAGTGTCACTTGCTTTTTTGATGTATTAAGATAACCTGCATTAAACATCTCTCCCATATTCTTAGGGTATAAAAATAAAGTCTAAACATAACTTTTTGAGGAAATATATATCTTCATTTATGGGCATTTCTTATCTAAAATGGCTCATTGCTTTTCCAAATGGGAATGACTGAAGATTGTAGGACAAAATTAGGACAACGTAAGTGTTTGTTAAATATTGGGCCAGCTCTGAAGCCCGTGTGCAATTGCTGGTAGTTCTACCTACGTTCATGAAAAATTACCATTGGTAACAATAAACCATATGACTCGGAGGCAATTAAAAGTAACTAAATAAATAGCCCATGCTGCTCTATGTATTTAAATAGGAATTAACATCTTTCTGAATTACTTAGATTGTTTACCTGTTGGAATAATGCGAGACTGTAAACAATGGATGATTTTTGAACTGCAAGGAAGAAACACTCTTT